AGCTACATTTTGGCGTTTATTGCATATTAACTTCTAATAGATTTCCATTGAAGCAATAGGTTACATGATCTTATCACGATCTGGTTTCTAATGTAAAAATGGGTTTATGATACTGATTTTTAAGCATTTGATTGATTTCAAGTGAAATCACAAACTAATGTTAGCTAGATCACCATTGAAAACCAGAACAACTGTCCCATAGTTGTTTGAGACTGTCACTTTTGTCCCCACAATGGATAAAAAACCACGTTAAGAGGTTAGCCTTCTTTTTACTGTTCTTTCAATGAAATGTGATAGAATGTCAGACTGACTCTTTGAAGGATTTTGTTGAGTTCTGATGAGAAGGTAGTGATGAATTTGGTTCATAAATTCAGATATAAAGATAAACGCAACAGTGTTGTATATGTCAAATAGGCGGAAGTTATTATTCATAGACCACTGGATGCTGTTTCCTTGGCTGAATGGTTAATAGGTTCAACTCTTAACCTGGAAGTCCTGGGTTGGATTCATATAGGGTTGATTGGTGCGTGCTATAGAAGAGTCGCCTGCTACAAAGGAACAACTATCCAGTACTTCTTAGATTTTCAGTGGTTCTCTAACTGGCGTCAGTTTCTGATCTGACTTAAGGTAAAACTCAGCTGGAAAATGGATCAAAGTATCTACTTAATAGTGTCTTGAGATCAGTGATTTTTTTCCCGGGATTTCTAAATTTTCAGCAATGACCAGCTGTTCTGCACAAATTAGTCTATAAATTCATTTCAGTGGAATGCAACGTTACTTCTCTTCGTCTGCCAACAGAAGTAATTAGGAAGTGCTGTACATATATGCTCAAAAATGAAATAGGAAATGTTTGTCTTTAAAATGAAATAGAATTTGATAATATTTTACTATTTAATTAGGCTTCTTATTCTACCATTAATATGTCGTCGGCAGTCTAAGCCGACATACAGAAGAACACTAACTACATAGGAAATGGCCTTTGTTGCACACCATCACTTTAGATAACAAAACGTAAAGTCGGAGGTAATAATAAAGCGAAATGATATAAATATTGTTTGACGGAAGTTAAAAAA